GGGAGAGGGGGAGAGGGAGAGAGGGAGAGAGGGAGAGAGAGAGAGAGAGAGAGAGAGAGAGAGAGAGAGAGAGAGAGAGAGTATAGAAAAAGGGAGGAACGGAGTGTAATAGCGATAGCTGTAGAACCGTGAAAAAACACGAAAAGCGACAGTGGCGACACGACGGTGTTGCGGAGAAGTACTTACGTCCATGCCACGGCGATTTCTCCACCGCACCCACTTGTTGAAACCCGGCCGCCAGTATTCAACGAAGTATTCCTCGGTGTACTCGACGCCATTTCCGTTACCAAACCTTCCCTGAGTACGGGTGGATGTAAGAACACGTGGATTGTGCAGATTCACTTCGAGATACTCCTTGCCTTCGCTGGTAACCATTTTCTTTGGACACCATGCGCCGCCGCCCTTGTCTTGTCGCAGTCTGAAGAAAAACAATACACGGCGATACAGTGATCGGCGATACCAACGGGAAGTCACGTATGCTTACATTGTCAATATACACGCACATTGTCGTATGATTTTTTTCGACACTCCTAGGGTAATGCTCATTAAAAAGGACACCCGCTATACGTAACCTAGCGAAACTGTTATCCTTAACGACGAAGGATTTCTCATGGCGGTCGGGGACCTCCGCCGCAATCTCCATGAAAATATTTCAAGCGGTTTGGCGAGCGTGCTATCATACAGGGACAGGGTATACCCGCATGTAAACAATAGAGGAGCGAAACCCGCCGAAAGCATTTGCGGTTAATTAGGCAGCAATGCTGTTAACAATGTTCAGGGGCTTTCAGCGAATTGCGTATGTCGCCGGGTGAATTTCAGGCGAATAAAGTTATATCCGGTCCTCTTACGCTGGTAATTGCCTCGAGTCTCTAGTGCGTATTATTAACAGCCCACGTCATTCGATTGAGAAGATTCATCAGGTCGGACTAATCGAAGTCCCACTAAAGTCATAAAAAATATTGACGGTTATTGAGTTCGCCCGTACAATAGGTTATTATAAAGGAAAAAAAAAAAAAAAAAAAAAAAAAAAAAAAAATCAAATTTGAAATCTATGAAAAGCCATATAACACAGAGTACAATAATAATAATACCTGCTAAAATATTAAACTCCACTTATACAGGTATTTCCTTCTATCCCAGAATGATCTGTCTATCTCGTTAGTACACTCACTGAACAACCCTCAGATACTAGATAGTATTTGGTCCCCGCATACTACCTCAAGCATGCTACCGTCCTACCGTACCACCGTAGCGCGAACACCGAATGAGCCAGAAGGCGATGTACACACACGTATACGTAAACCCGTACGTTATGTGCACGTACGAATAGATGACGGCTCACTGAGTTTGTTAATCACAAGCCGTTGAACTGACAGAATATTGCGAACGTTGTCGACGTTCCAATTCGGACTATGGATTTAACGTGTCTATTTACAATAATCTAGGCCCGTACCAGATACGTATTACAAGTGTCACGTGGACTCGTGAGCGAGAAAAAGTATACCATTTTTTTTGTTTCATTAACGTACTCAAGTTTTCACGTTAATCTTTACGACGTACCGGTTAGACCACTCGGAACGTTACGTGGCGTTCGTATCGCATACTGCTTTTCCAGTTTCTCGGAGTAAGAAAATTTGTGGCGCGACTTCGCGCAGTTGAGATAAGGGACCAGAAATTAGTCAGCATTCTCCGGTAGCGCGCTTAACTATTCATCCGTTAAGCCCCGACCACAAGGTATACTCGACCTCCGAGAACGAGGGGTTAACCATGGGGTGACTACCCCCCTCCTTTCCACGTAGCTAGTCATCGCCGTATATCGCCGCAAAGGATCGTCTGTGACGAGTACGTTATTAGCGTTAAATCCTGTCGTGGTCATTGTCGCGTAGGGCTCTGTACATTCAACCCTTTACTTTCTGGTTTATGCTCGTATGTTATATTTCAGTAATATTCTTATTACTTTTTTCTTTCACCTTACGATTCGACTTTTACGACCGTAGTCGCGTGCCGATATAGCCGACTCGTAGCACCCTGGAATGTCTGGCAGCTTCCGAGAAATTAATATTTCCAGAAACTGGATGCTGGCCCTACTGAAATAATTGACTGTGGATTTATTTAATTTCCTCCGAGGGTTGTTTGTCATCGAATCCTTTTAATTCATGGAAAACGCTAGTACCTATAACTCTTCTTCCCAATCTCCCTCTTTCTCTACACTGGAAGTTCACTTTCTGCTAATTGGAAGGCAATCGTCTCTCCTTGAAATTTACGGTTACCATCAGAACCATCATGGTCCCGACCACCCCCTAACCAGTCTAAGTGGCGTTACTGAGAAATGCATTGGCGCTACGAGCTAGATGGAAGCACAGTGGTGACGCCAAAGGGGAATAGCGGAGGCAGAGGGTGGAACGGAGCATTACGCTGCCTCATCACTCGAAAGATGCATTAGCATTGCTAATGACGACGGTCGTTACCACCACATGCTGCGCCAACCAAACCGGCACCTTAACGGTTCGCCGTCCTATTGTTATTCCGAAATAGATCCTGATTCTTTATGCGACCAGTTATCGAGGACGCTTTTAAGTAGCGAATTCTACGAGACAGACCTTAAACACATATTTGCCAGATACATGCGATCGGTAGCCGTTACGGTAAATCAGCCAGCAGCTCAGATAGGAAGATGAGGGTTGGCAGAAGATGAGGGTGGCGAATGACAGTTTACAAGAAAGCTGGAAGAGACGATCTCTGGGTATACGATGGAAATTGAGGGTTGAGGTGGTTGGGTAGGGGGTAAAGAGGATGAAAGGGAAAAACCGAGTGAATGTGGGTGGGATTGGGTTGGGGGGGGGGGGGATGG